GGCTCCCTTCTGGCCAGGCCAACAGGTCCAAGGATGTCTTCATGAAATATGTTGACTCCGTCTTGAGCAAGTGCGCCAAGATCAGGTCCCTGATTGGGGATTTGCAAAAGAACTATCCCAATGATGGGACGGCGAAACTGCTCCTCATCTCAATCGGTATTAGACTGCGTGCTGATTCTGGTGTTTCATTTTCTTTACCCACCCCCTTCTACTGTAAACTTGAGATTGCCCCCGAGATCTGCCTGACCAATCAGGGCAGCGGTGACGCTGAACAAAGACCTGCAAACCTTGGACGCAGAGTACAACAAGCTGTCCGATCACGTGGCGCAGGGGGAGAGGGATAGCCATGATGCTGCGCAGCTTACCAGCACATGCGGTAGTTATTCTTGTGGAACCACGATCCCTCCCAGCTTTCACTGTGACCAATCCAAGGTGGGGACAGGAAGCTGAGAAAATTATGAAAGCGTCTACCTTTGTGTACCTGAGTGGCACTAGTGCGCAATGGCTTCTATTTGGGTCAATTTTCTGCACAACTATACTTCTTCTCTTCCATGGCTGGGCCCAGGTGCACCAAAATCGCCCAGAATGAGGCAAAGATCCGGTGGGAATCTTAAAATATGTCAGAGTCTTTTATCTCGCGCAACCCAAAACCATGATTTCAAAGACGCCTCACCGAGTTCGTGTCTGCTTCGCCCCAGGACTGCCAAGCGGCACTTTCAGAAGAAGGATGATGTCAAGTCTGAGGAACCTCAGTCGTGATGACATCATGCCATCAGTCTTTTTGGGTTGGTCAACTTTTTTCAGAGTTGACTGGGCTTGAGCTGCCATTGCTAGAAGTCAGTGGCATTCCAAAGGATTGCACTTTGAAGATGCAACCCAAATTCAATATAGACTAACTGCGAGTATGTTGGTGCTTCCTGCCTGGACTCCCAACCATAGTGTGATTGATCTTCTATAGGCTTCAAGATTTGTATTTGGAAACTGTTGGATTCTGTACCCATCAAAGTTACCCAACAACGAAGAAAACATGACCACTATACTGTGTGTGTTCGGATATATACATGCCATGAATGGAGACGGGGTCATGCAGGGCCATTGCGCCAAAGATGTCGGGGCAATAGGGATTTGAGTGAAATCAAAAGGTGCGTGTTTGCGGGGCAGGTTTTTGAGTTGCACTTTCAAGAGACACTCTACTGACCCTTCTATGGCACCTCTACCAAGAAACCCCTGAGGCATGATTTCATACACATCACGTGTGTGAAATCATGCCTCCTTCTGCGGTGCTACCACTGTGTGAAAGCCAGGTCGCATTGGCCACACTGCGAAGCGCTTGGCAGTGAACATCGGCGAGGGAGCCATGAGCTCAGGGGAAACTGAAAGTGGCCACATCGTGTGGGAAGTATTTTCTTGTATGGGTCTGTGCATGGTTGGAAGTGTGAAGAGTTGGCCCTCTGCCCACAGCATGTCCGTGCTCCACCTTTCCTCCCGAAGGGAGGTTGCTGAAAGAATACAGCATGGCATATAGTCATAGTATAAACATTTACTTTTCACTATGGACACCCAGTGCAACTTCACCAGTTGTAAGACCTGCAACCTGTGCCATGGAATCCTCTGACGATGAACTTGTTGAGCTATTGAGCTGCCATCGACCAGTCCTTTGTCTAAACAATGAGCTTGCAAGCTAACATGAATGCTTTGTGACCTATGGTGTTTCTGGCCTTGTTTTTGTTTTTTCTGAGGATTCCATTGTGCCATATGCGTGGCAGCACAACAGAGTTAAGAAGTTGAGAATCACGCACCCTGCTGTGGACACAGCCCCGAACTACTTGCCGCTGGAGAGTACCAAACATGTTCGTGCTTGTCCTTGTCTTGGGGGGCATGGCAATTCCGAAGTGATGTGGAAGGATTGCTATCTACAACATGAGGATCTAGCTGGATTGTCCCGCTCGCAGGATGTCTTCAGAAAGATTGAGGTAGATCCCTATCTTTCGATGAACCTTCCAAAGCCCAAAGCAACCGCTGGTGCAGTCTTGCGACATTGTGTCCAGGTCTTCGAACGATTGCTAGAGAAGTTCAAACCCATGACCTTCAAGTTCGGTATAACACACGATGCGCATGTCAGGTGGTGGAATCCTAAATTTGGATACAAGCACTCCAAGGACAAATTCGAGCACATGCTAGTCCTCTTTGGTGCGTCCAACCCACATGGACCAGCTTTCCTAGAAGCTGCGCTAATTGAGAAGTATGGAAGTGCTCTGCTTGTGTGTCATGAAGGTTTTCTGTTTTGGTTTCCTCCCTGAACAGCTTTGTGATAGTGTGATAAAGTATGTATCTCCATATGTTACATTTTCCGAGTGGCACTGATGCTATCAACTTAGGTGTTCAAGGATGCAAAAACGAGCTTCGTGGTGGTGACTCTTTAAGGGACATTGATTCTGGACCATACTTGACATACGTCGTCTACATGTCGTACAAAAGGCCAAGCATGCAGGTGAGAAGCCCGGGAGTGCCAACCTTGAGCGCGGAAATTCAATAGGTATATAACCTTTGAGACTCGTTTGTGCAATTTTTGTTTGGCGTGAATGCTTTCCTAATTGATTCTGGTTGCAAAAGCCAGGGTTAGACAATTTGGCAGCGCTCATTTGGTGCTGATGCAGTGGTTCAAAACTGTGCCGCGGTTGTGTGCTATGTGTGCGCGGATATCCCTTCCTCAAAGACATGCAGTTTTTGTTTGGTTGGTGTTACTTGAGTGAAACTATTGGGGCCTATTGGAACTGCAATGCCATTCATCCTTTCATCTGTTGTATGTTCTAAACCTCTGGTTCTTGAATCTGGTGTTGGGGCCCGCCGAGGCCAGCTGTGTCAGCCAGATCCTGACGGCGCAAGCTGTGGCGTCAGACATGGGAGAGAGCAGAGCAGCCTCTAGTGGAGTCAACTCTTGGGCAACATGCCACCTTCGGAATTCTGAAAGGGATGCTCACAAGGTTATGAAAAGGCAGAAGACCAAGTTAGACATACAAATCCAAACCATTAATTGCAATGGAGTTTATGTTCCTTGGATCTCTCCGGAAACGTGGCTTGAGTTTGTGGTGAAAAAGGGCCTTTGGCCATTGATGGCTGGGTGTGACCTTCATGACTGGGATGGGTCTGATCGAAATTGGACAGAGTTTTGGCGAGTTTACGAGAAACTTAACCCAAATTTTGAACTTTTCGAGATGGTGGACATTGACCTTGGCAGAACAGCAGCCATGTTGGTGCATGGTGATGAGGGTAGGACCCTCAAAAAAGGTGGTCTGATGGTGACTTCGTTGCAAAGTGCGCTTGGGCGAGGTTATGATGAAAAACGAGTTCGCGGGCAAAGATCTGACACTGCTCTTTTGAGGGTTAACTTCGCAGGGCACTCCTTCACCACACGGTATGTTGTGAACACTATGCCCAAGACATCTTACGAGACTGAGTCGAATGTTTTTTATGCAATGTTGGATCACGTTGCCAGGTCCCTTAGCAAGTGCCTAGAGGAGGGATATGTTGACGACAGGGGCCACAGGTTCCGGATAGTGCTTCTGGGCGTGAAGGGGGATGCCCCATATCTCAGCAAGGCGGCTCACTTCTATCGTAGCTACAACACCACGGCTAAGCGTGGCCAGGAGCGAGGACCCCCAAAGGGGGTATGCCCGTATTGCTTGGCAGGAACACCTGGATATCCGGCAGAACAAGTCGATACTTCAAAGCCGAGGTGGCTGGAGACTGTTGCGGTGAAGCTCCCATGGTTAAAGCGTCCTGCATTTATACGTCACCTGATTCATGACCCTGGTGACCCAGCTTCATTTTTCAAGACAGATATTTGGCATGTATTCCACTTGGGTTTTGGTCGGAGTTGGGTGGCCAGTGTCGTTCAGCTTGTCCTTCCAGTGTTGCCGCTTCAGAACCTTGAGGAAAAGTGGGAATTTCTGACTTCAGAATATCTTGGTTGGTGCAATACAAACAAAAAGCAGGCTCACATCAGCAGAATCACGCCTTACTTGATGAGTTACAATGATTCGAGCGGAGCGATGGGCAATTGGCACAAAGGCGCTCTCACGACTAACCTCATGCAGTGGTTGGTTGACTTGTTGGGCAAAGTGCCGGCAGATGCCCAGGGTTTGTTGATGAAGTGCCGTCAAGCTTCATATCGCATGAACTCTATGTTTAGCATTTTGTACCGGTCTGGTGCCTTCCTCTCCGAACATGAAGCTACCTTTGTCTCTCAACAGGGCCTGGAGTTTTTGGCGTGCTACAGTGGCTTGGCAGCCGCACTCTTCAGAGATGGAAAGCAATGGATGTTTCCGCTCTACCCAAAACTCCACATGTTTCATCACCTAATGCTGGACATTGCAAATCAGGCCAGGTCAGCGAAAGTTGCACTCAGCCCCATGTTATGGGCTTGCCAGATTGACGAGGATGTTGTTGGCAGATCTTCGAGACTAAGCAGGCGAGTAAACATTCGCCTTGTTTCTCAGAGGGCATTGGACCGCTATTTGGTGGCGGCACACTCAGCCCATTCGAACGCTGGGCTGTTGGTGTAGAGAAAGGTGGAGGGCCTGGGGGGAGCAGTGGAGCTTGGGTCATGTGCGTGAGGTTCATGTTGGTTGGAATGATTGTTGATGTTGGTTCTGTGGCTGCATGATGGGAATCCTTTACCTTCTTTTGCCTTTAGTATCTTAGGGTGATCATGAGCAAAAACCTAAAACCCAACTATTTTAAAAAAAAACTAGGTTTTTTTCTTCTACCCAAAAAAAAAAGGTAAATGATTCCGAAGGTATATATATCCTGAAACGACCCGGACACACAATTCCACAATAGATCACGGACAAGTCACCAGGGAGGATTCCTTCAAGCTAGGGTGCCCAATGGAGACCTGTAGTGTGGAGATATCCATTGGTGACCCTTGGAAGCAGCTGGTAGATGTTAGGTGAAGTCGTGTTGGAACACTCCGGGGCCACGGGAAGTCGAGTCCGCAGGAGCCGGCGAAGCGCAAAGCGTTCCGGTCCCAACAGCAAGACGCCTGGCGGACCTGGCGCACTGCCATCTTCTTTCGAGAGATGAGAGGCGTTGAAGTCTTGGTTACAAGACCACCATGAAGACTTCAATGGCAAGTCTCATCCTAAGAAAGTCTGCCACCTCCTAGGAAAGCCTCATCTTGAGACCTCCAAAGTCTCATCCTAAGTCCAGGACGAAAGACTCCAGTCTTCGGGACGCACTTGCCGGGACGTCCAGGTCTTCGGGACATGGCCGGTTCGGACTCACGGGTCATGGGTCAGGACGAAAGCAGGTCGACCATTGTAAACAGGATCGACCGGATGAAAGCAGGGCGACCTGCCGACCAAATCCTCGGAGATTCCAGGGAAAATGAACCTGGAACCTGAACATGGACCAGGCTGGAAGACGATTTTCCTCTACAACCCAGTGGTTTTCTTCCAGGGTTCGAGGGTTCGCACCGCTGAAGCCAAAGGATGTGACCCGCCAGCTGGGTGACCCGCCGGTGACATACGAGCACCCAGCACCCAGCACCTACGACCGTGCCAGGTCACCGCCTGCGACGTTTTTCAGTCTGCGTTTCAGCTACGTCGGAGACCTGTAGAGTCGGGTCCGGGTATCACACAAACTTACTTGAACCCTTCGAGCTCCCCGCCCCCTCCGTTTTCGATGGCAGAATCGACAGAAGAAGGACAAGCAAATGAACCAGAGCGACCGGGTATCACGCGTTGGAGGGTGGAATTGGTGCCATGCTTTACACTCTGACGAACACATCACATCAAAGTGGAAAACCCCTTGTTGGTTGGTGTTAGAGGAAAGTCTTCCAAAGGACCATTTTCCACTTCCATGTTAGTGAGTCAGAGGGTTTCTTTGGCTTCCCTTCGGAAGAAAGCTGTTTCAGGGCCCCGGTGAAGGCGCCAGCCATGACCGTCGACGTCTTCACAGCAGTTTCACTCGTCGTTTCTGTGAACTCTTCGCCGAGGAAAAGCGGCAGAAGACCGAGCCAGAGGCGGAATCACTGGGAAGGGTTACGGGTAACACACCGACACCACTGCGCGGACTAGACAATTGGATGTCCCATTGTGAAGTCAGGGTTATCCCGTTTCTAGTGTTCTTTTTGCGTGCTCTTAAACTGGTGATGGATGGGCCTATAAATATCGCGAGTATGAACCTCCTCTTCTTTCTTATTCCCTGTTCCCTTTCCTTGTGGTTATCCTGTTCCAGTTCCTGTTACTCATTTGTTCCATTGCTTCTTCATAATAACTTCCAAGCCCCTTGTCACACAACATCTCCAATCGTTGCGCAGCTGCCGAACAGTCTGACCAACATTCGCGGGGTGATCTTTAGGCACGGTGAACAGGCCTCATCATTCGAAGACGTCATGGGCTTTTCACAGTGGAACTTTCGGAACCTCGAAACCTCCCGGACATTCGCCTCTTAAAAAACTGGCTGTCTAATTCTAGCTCCTGAAAGAGGTGATAGAAGGGGTATCCATGGCCCGGGGGCCCTGGTTTTGAAGCCTTTTCTTGGGGCCCTGCCCAGTCGAGCCTCCGGCCTTTGTTCATCCCCGCTTGATCCCAAGGCGCCTCCGGCCGACGCCGCGACTGCGGCCGAAGGCGGCACCTTCGGCTGAAGGTGGTGGGAAGTGCCGATGGTGTTCACCAAGAGCTGATGAGCTGATGAGCTTGTTCTCGAAGAAAAAGGGTCTGTTGAAGAACTTGTAAATGGATCTTACTGGGTATATACCTACTTATAGGTTTTTGGGTTTTTGGATTTTTGATAGCTGACTCAGAGGCCTGAAAAGGTGTTCCTGAGCAGGTGAATTTGGATCAAGTACCAGCACCCTCCAACAGGTCTCCTCTGGTGGCTTTTGGAGACCTAAAAGTCGCAGGTGGTGACCTGTTGGAGGGTCCTGGTATGTGCATGTGGGTGTGGTTTGATTAATTATATCGAGTTCTCATCATCCCAAAAGCACTCTTATGATCCTGTGTGCCACGTGAACATCCAGATATACCGCCCCCAAAATAGAAAAAACACATCAAAATGCACTCTTATGAGGACATGTCATCGACCTAACTATTTGAAGGGATGACCGTCTTTTCTAAGGCCCAAACTCCTTCAAATCTCAGTCGGGTACCGTGACAGACGGCGGACACACTTCCATCGACAGCATGAAAACGCGACCGGCGCGTACCGAGCGATACCATCGCATCTTCGCGCGACGCGTCGGCCGGAAAATGACCACACGAGATCATCCACCACCAGAAGTCGCAGATCTTCCTCACAGCCAGTCTCACTCAAAGAGGGGGCCCCCCACAAAGAACCCATCAAAAACCTGGGGTTTCATGTGAACACCACTATTTTTCATGGGAACACGAGATGGGCCACTGGTACATGTCTTTCATATTTACCAGACTACCAGGACCCTCCAGGACCCGGCCTTGGAGCAAAGAGGCCAAAGGGAAGGGAACAGATCCGTAGGTCTCACCAAGTGTGACCCACCTGGATCCTCCTTTGGGCGGAAAAAAGTGCCGGACCTCAATCCGGCAAAATTTTCCGCCGGATTCCGAAAAAAAACGCCGGAGACCTGAAAAAAACATCCGGATCCAAGATTCTGAAAAACAGAGATGATAAAAGGTTGGATCATACACAAGGAAATTGCCTTTGCGCCGCGAGTAGTTTTTCTGGAGCACACTCGAACCTTCCCGTTCCCATTGCCCTCGCCCATCTTCCGAATGGCCTAAGAGCAGAACCATCACAAAATATAAGCAACTTGTGCCCAAGCAAAGGCTTCCAAGAAGAAACCAAGGAGCATGTGGCAATGAACTCATCTTTCTCTGCAACCGTGTCTCTAAAGTGTTTTTTTACAAAGTGCATGGGTTGCTCTCCATGATTCTTATGCTTCTTAATGTTTCTTTAAAGCTTGCCTCAGGACGGCCCCCCCAATAAAGTAGCAGAACTCATGGCTCCTGTCAAAACTCTTCTTTGAAAAACTTTTCAAAGTCAAAGCCAAAGCCTGCAGAAGACTCAGTCAAAAGAAACCGTCGGAGTTACGGGAAATTACGCCGGAGTTACGGGAAATTACGCCGGAGTTACGGGAAACTACGCCGGAGTTACGACGTGCCATTTTTTGACAACTCTCTGCCAAACATTGAGATTCAGAACAACACATGTTCCACAGCACAGCCCAAAACTTGTCCGGCAGGCTCTGCAAACCTGCGCAGCTAGAATCTATATCCCAGCGCCCCGACATCCTGAAACAATGGGAGTACATTTTTGCCTATGCTCTTTCAGCTTAGGTACGCCCACTTGGGTCTTTCAACAGGTGCATCGCACTGTACCGGCTTCATCCGATTTCATTTAGAAGATCACCTAAACATACCTAAACGATCTATATAAACGGATCTGATTGATCCAGTGTGAACCATGCTGAAACCTATGGAATGAGAAAACAGCGGAACAGGCAAACGAGCACACTTTGCAAACAAAATCATTGCATCAGTAGTGGGTTTACCTTCAAAGAAATGCAAACCACAAAGAATGCAAAGCCTTGAGAATCCACATAAAGTGCTTGGAAAAAGCGCCGGACCAAATCCAGAAAAACGCCGGAGTTGGAAGTCCGGCGCCGGACCCTGTAAAAGTGCCGGACTGAAGATCTATGTATCTATACATGTCAGGCGCTGCGATGTACAGTTCGCCTCGTTTTCAGAGGCGATGTGGGGGTGTCCCAAAGGTCCTGTCAGGCGAGGAGTATCAGGGAGTTCCTTCATCCTCATGAATTCAAGTACCCTCCAGGATCATCCTGTCTGTGTGCCCTGGCTAGGCGGCTAGACTACCCCACCCTACTTAAACAGGTCTCCAGACAGGGCACCTGAACAGGAAGTGCTAGGCGGAGGCCCTTTTTCAAGACTCTTTCAAGACCCTGATTCTGGCTGGATAGACACACTTAGATCCACACACTCACACACTCTCGTTCGGAAGCTCCGATTTTTTGGGGTTGGATGTCTTCATTCCATGGCCTGGAAATAGGGGAATTGGGCTCCAGACGACCCAGGACCGGCCGCACAAGACGGGACTGCGGAAGACACGGCGGTGGAGAAGCCACAGCCAGCCGTGGAGGAGAGCGTTCCTCTTTGGGGATGCGGGATGTGTTCTAATTGGTCGTTTCTTTGGTGGTTGTACCTGTTTCGGGCCGCAACGGGGATCCCTAAGGATGTTGGGCTCCTTTTTTTGTTTGTTTTTGATTGAGGAGCTGGAGGAGGCTGTTCTCAGTTGAAGACTTCCATGGGTGGGTTGTTTCCCAAGACCACTGACCTGTGCGAAGTTCGCTTTCGGACGTCAGGGGTGGCTGGATCCGGAGGTCTCCCCCCCCACAAGGGTGGTGAGTGAGTGAGTGAAACTTCCCTCATTCCCAGTACCTGTGGACTGGTGGAAGTGAACCGGTCCGAACATGTCAGAAGCCCTTCCAGAACCTTCGTTTCACCCTGGGTTTTCAGAAGACCTGTAGTAAGAAGGCTCTGGAAACCCCTGAAACAGGATCAGCTCGCTCCAGGTACGTACCGAAAGAACACCCCAAATCTGGTTTCGTATTCCCTGGTTTCGCTTCAGGAGTCGACCATAACCAACGGATACCAACGGATACCAACGGATACCAACGGATACCAACGGTGATCCGAGTGGAGTGGATGTGAACAGGAACCAGTCTGAACACCACTGGCTGACCGGTGCCGAACATCGTCGCTTCCTGGGGCTTCTACCAGGACCGACACTGATCTCGAGGTGTCTATAAATATAGCCTCTTAGTGTCTTAGTGGTGATGACCGGGGTGTCCTTCCAACCACCGGACCTTGGAAGCTCGGTCCTGGTCGGGAGGCCAATGGGTGGTTTCTAGGGTGAACCTGTTCACCAGCGTGAACGCCGACCAAGCGAGCCATTACAGCGAGGTGAAGAGAACCACCCTGGAAAGCTCGAAGGCAGAACATCAATGGTAGTGGAACCCGAGGCAGAGCGCCAGCTTAAGATATCGAACGAGATCATTTGAGATCCTTCACGAAAGTGGCTGGAACTGGGAAAACCCTCCATATTATGTGACATTTGGGGGACTCTATGAGACTGTGAAACGCAACAAGACGTGAAACGAGTGGGAGATCGGTGAAGATGCAGCGGGAGTCGAACGGACAACGTTGGACCTTCCGGGTGCCATACCAACAGAGGTGGGGAGCGGACCCGAACGTTCGCCGACTGTCCTACGTAGTTCGGTACCCCAGTAAGGTCCTAGTGACCTGGTCACTATCCACCTCTCTTGGTACTGGACCACACCACGTCTGGTGGTGCTTGAACCGTCCCGCCCCAGGAGCCACCGACCGAGCCGACCGAGCCCGCGGCAAGCGAGGACGCCGCGGCAGCGGCGAGCGAGGACGGCCGCGGGTGAAGAGCCAAAGACTCCAGCACCCTCCAAGAGCTCAGACCATGTATGAAAGATGAACCATATACAATATCTATATATATCTATATCTCGACCGAAAAAACGAAGTTCGGTGGGTTTTCGGGCACACCCCGTATGATATCACCTCTCGGCCTCTTTTGCGAGGCTATCTAGAGACACCCTCCAACAGTGTCAGGTCCCGGCACCTTGACACCGGCATCTGAAGGGTCACCCCGACCGATCGGCAAAGCTTCCATGGTTTGTTAGGGGAGGCAGTTTTCTTTGGGACCGAAGGTTCGTCTTCGGGACCGAAGGCCCGCCCAAGACCTTCGAAGGGTCCGGGAAGCGTGGGTGTTTGGGTGCGGCCCTGAAAATTTTCTTCTTGTCGAATGGACATGGTGACCACTCATGTATGGTGCATGTGGCAGGACTGTGCTGTCTCAAGGCACAACGCCCTGGCAAAACCCGGTGACTCACAACTCTTCGATCAAACGACGTGAAGGAACATGCCAGACTGCCATACATATTATATAGCTGAGGTTTCTATTTTTTGTGTTTAGCTTGGGAGAACCCGGAGTTGGACTCCTGTGGAAGAGGACAAGTACACCTTGGTAAGCGTCAGTTGCTTTGCTCTTGTACACTCCCGAAGATTCGTATCGAATCTGGAAATGCCACCAGTTTCATGCATGTAAGCCATTAAACACCAGGCCATGTTTCGGTCAAGGTTGCTGCCCAAGCTGTGGTGCTGTTCTTGAAGCCCAGGAGCACAAGTCAATGGAGGTGGAGGAGGCAGAGGACGCGGAGGAGGTAGCTCAACCACACAAAGGTGCCTTGGATCAACGTGAATCTTGAGAGATTCAAGCACATGCGAAAGGTATCTCCAAATGAGTCCCGAAAGGATGGGAGGAAACAGGCCAGAAACATGCCAGAACTATCAAAGTTGATTCAGCAACAACAAACGCTCACAAACCACATCATGGTTCATGCCGTAGCATACCATCTGAATTCTGATCCCACCCACCCTATGCGGCATCTTCGAGCCTCTTCTGCTCCCTGCGCCGCGGTGCCGGTGTAGGCTCGCACTACCACCAGCGGCGCTTGGCCGAGAAGGCGCAAGACTTGAAGCTGGAGGAGGAAGGGCAACTTGGCTGGTGTCAAGGTGGATCCAGGCTGTCTTTCAGATACATGGCTTCCGGAGCCTCTCCCCAAAGGCTGATCCTTTAGAATAAGGATTCAGATAAAAACCATCGCTGGATCTTCCAACGACGTGCCGCGCCTTTGGGGGGGGACCGGTCGCATGGATGAAAAGGCAGAAACTCGCCACAGTGGGAAGATCCAATATTGGGTGATGCTGACATGTACCCTAGACTTCCGTTCGACCATTTAAAACATGGGAACGACCTGGTTTTTGTAGTGTAAAATCCTTAGTCGATTCCATAAAGCCTATTAAATTCATGGTTGTTGGAAGCCTAGGGGTACCGAGAAGTCGGTGAAACGCCGAAACTCGTGGTAGTACCAAAAACCACCTTCCTTAAGAACCCGGTGGTTCTTAGAAAAAACACCCTTGAATCACCTCTATCTTAGAGGCTATGAACATTGACACCCCGGGCCATGGTCGGGTCCTGGTATAGGTACGGAATGGTAAAATATACCCAGACGCTCCATGTATGTGCCGATCAGTTGGGTGGTGCCAGGGGGGTCTGTCTGGGGCGGCAGAACGGACTGGCAGTCCCATTCTATAGGTCGTGTATGGGATAGAGTTTTCAGATTTCAGACCTTTTTCAGTCGCTGGCACGGTCACATGCATCCCTTTCCTAGGCAACACACCGTCTTCGTGGCCAATCTCGATTGGTCCGCCTCTGGGACGCAGCCGAACCACCGCGGGTCGCCGGTCGCCCGTCCGGTCTGAAGAGCCGCCGAAAGCTGGTCGCCTTCACCACCGTCGGTCGCCCGGTGCGGAAGGCGGCTCTTCAGAGCGGTGGAGCGAAGGGGTTTCTGAAAGCGACCAGTCACATGGAGGGCCAGGGTGGTGTTGTTCGTCCAGGGGCGGATGTGATGTGACGGGGCACCTTTCTCCTTCCTCCTTCCACCCTCCGGCAGTCGGAACCGGCACCGGTCGGAACCGAGCGACCGGTGATGTTTTGGGTATGAACCATGGACGCAAGCAGCACCTGGCTGGACCTCGGGGGTCACCTGGCGAACAGCAGCCGCCCCCGCCCACAGACCTATCTGAGATCTCCCTGTCCAGGACACCCCTGTCTAAGAAGGTCCAGGAAGTCTTTGGAATCCTACGAGGCATACTGCGGTCCGCCTTTGGTGGGGAATTTACTGAAAGACCAAGACGAAGAGTCAAATCCTTCTTAGCAGCGGATCTAAGGATATTCGGATATAGGCAAAGTCACTGCAACAAGAGCCATGCCAACGCCTCCTTCATGTTTTTGGGACGTGCTATGCCTTCCGCCTTCACGCACGCTTTTGGGACACGGCCGTGGTGCCGTCCGTTGGGACCTTCCGACGACGCCTCGCAGTGACCGAAGCCGCGCGAGTACGTCGTGTGCGACGCGCTCCACGTCGAGGTCGGCTCTCGTCGTGCCGCGGCCCGAGGTCGATGAAGCTCAGCTCTACCGCGTCTTTCAGGTCGCGGGTCTCGACAGGCCGTGGGTCTCGTGACGAAGGTCGCGCAAGAAACCACCCTGGATTGATGTACCTTCGGAACCTTTGGGGTGAACCCCCATCCAATTCCCTACACCTTATGATGGATCTCGATGGATCTCCAGGTCCAGGACACCCCGAGTTCGGAAGGTCCAGGTAGACTCCAGACTCCAGACATAATTGCCTAGATCTTCCAATGCAACCTTCTTCTGCCAACCCTTCATCTACCCTAGACGTCCAAATATGTCCAAATACTGATTCATATTCTGGGAAATATAAGTATTCCGTGCCCTCTTCACACCCAAGTGTTAAGCCCAGCCCTACTAGTAGAAGTCCAAATACTAGATAAATACTTCATCTACCCAATGTTCAGGACATTCCGTTCGACTCGGATCAACGAACTCATCCGAGACTCAAACACATATGTCCTTCTTGGCCGAACGACGGGACTCCCAGTCGACCCGGGTGCGGAACTCGGTTCACCACCGGTTTTTGTCGGTCGCATCGAACCGAAGCGGAGGGGTCGATGGATGGATGGATGGTTGGAATAGTGGATGGACGGTCGGATGGTCCGGAGTCTCGCCATGGTGATCGCTCCCAGGACATCGACGGTCTGAAGGACGTGCGTTTGGTCCGCGACTTCTTGAAGAGGTCCAAGGCGCCTGCTGCATTTGGTTTGGTGCCCCCCCCCCTAACCGGGACGACCGTGCAGTACGTGAGCGGGGTAGACTTGAGAATGCAAAGAGGTGTTTGAGGTCCCACGCTCTATAGCACAACTTTTGGAAAAGTGTGGCTCCCCTTGCCTGGCCTCTTTAAGAATGCTGCGTTCTCTCTAACCCCTGTCTCAGCGGAAAGCGAGTTATATACGCACGCGTCCTGACCCGCGCCGCGAGGGCTACGCCTACGTGGACTTCCAGACGCCTGAGCAGGTGACGGAGGCTGCCGAGAAGTTCAATGGGCATCTCATCAACAACCGCGCCTCGGAAGTGAAACTTCCAAGAGAGGTAGTGAACGTGACCTGAACTAGGACCTCACTCAAATACCCAACTGGTCGTTCGTGGAACGTGACCGGGTCATGACCCACCTCTGTTGGTTCTGGACGTGACTTTCCTTCGGACCCAACAAACGTCACGTCACCGGCTGGAAACCATCGCAAGAATGCAGCCTTGGGCGATGGCCTTGCTGTTTCTTTTGCCCATTGGAGACCTGAAGGGAGCTTCTGCAGCTGCCCTCTGCTTGGAGGGGGTTCTCTTGGAGGTACCCTGGAGGTAAGGCATCTTTCCTGAACTTCACCGGTACAAAAGAGTTCTTCTTTTTTTTCCAGATAGCGAGAGCTATAGGGTTCCTCTCAATGAATTGGCTAAAAGCAAAAGATATATGCATCCGTTTGAGTTCATTGCTGGGTCTATGCCGCATATGCCGCTGTATGTTTTTCTTCCAACCCACTTCTGGTGCTCTTCGGGCTTTGCCACTGCCCAGGTGCCATGAAGGTGGCACGTTCACTACCGACGAAGCAGCTCTATCAGGAGCGGTACTTCCCTCAGAAGGTATGTCTAGTACCCTCCTGGCACCCACCCCACACACCTTCTCAGAGGGTACATGGAGCCCTAGGGTTTCTGAAAAGGACACACATACCAGCACCTGGCTGGACCTCGGGGTCACCTGGCTGGAAGCCCGCCCCAGCCCACAGACCGATCAGGGACCTCCAGCCAGGACACCCCGTGAAGACCGTCAGGTCCAGGTAGCTGGACACTTTGCTGACCAGCAGTTCCGGCGCAGCGGCAGTGGCGCAGCGGCTGCGGTGGAAGAAATTGATCGCTTCAACGGAACGACTCACGTTGGTTAGGACCGACCGGAACCGGACGACTGTCTATCAACCATCCACAGAGGTCGGTGAATCCACAAAGCACCGGACTTGGTTTCGGTCCTGGTGGACGAGTTAGCGAGATGAACACCAATGTTTCTCAAGCTTATCAAAGTCCACATGTTATTGTAGCTGACATCCATCGCAGTTTGGCCATGGCGATGAAGCTGAAACTGTCAGCACTGCTAGTCACCGGCGAAATGATTTGCTTGAGAGTTTCACCGGAGATGAAAGGCAAAGAGCTTAAGAAGCTGATCAAAGAAGGGCAACCTTGGGATGAGGTCACTCGAACAACTACTAGAGTGGAGATTGTTGTTGGAGACAGGTTGCTGTGCAATGATGAGAAGGTGTCGGATGCAGGGCTAGCAGATTTGGTCGTGAATGCAGTCTTCAAACCAAACACTGTGAGCTGCTCGAACAAAGATGCCCTTGCCAGCTTTGAGGGTGATATCGACCCGGAACTATGGCTCATTTTGGTTGTGATCCCTGACAAGGAATGTCATATTCCTGAGAAAGCCTTTGAAGGATGCAACAAGTTCCAAGTATTGACAATTCATGACTCAGTGACGCACATTGGGAATCGCGCCTTTGCTAAATGCCGCTCTTTGGCAAGCCTGACCATCCCGAACTCAGTGACGCGCATTGGGGATTTTGCCTTTGGTGATTGCACCTCTTTGGCGAGCTTCACCATCCCGAACTCAGTGAAGCACATTGGGAATAGTGCCTTTGCCAGTTGCCACGCTTTGGTGAGCTT